TAGATGGAGAGAGGTTCATTTTCATCATATGACTTGTTTTCCTCCTCATTTCTGGACAGTGACACCTTTTCTCGGGGCAGAAACTCCTGCCGTCAGTGCTTGAGGTGTGTGGCTCAGAGTTACTGCAATCCTTTCCTCTCCCATTGCATCCACTCCTAAGGTCACCCAGTTCTTGGATTACAATGTTAAGTAACATCATCCATGCTTATACCAATAATATATCCTGGCTCAACAAGGAATCACAGGATTGTGACCCAAATGGGGAAAAATCATTTAATTTTCCCACAGAACAATGGAAAGGTTTTTCCTCTCCTCTCCTCTCCTCTCCTCTCCTCTCCTCTCCTCTCCGGAAGAAGGAGAGATGGAAACCCCTCATGCCCCGATCCTTGTGAGCACAATCCTGCAGTGTCTAAGTGTGTGTGTGTTCACTAGGACTGCTCCATCGTCTCTCTGCTCCTGCCCACACAGCGATGTGTAGTGAACAAGGACCTCCATATCACAAACACCTCCCAGAGACCTGAACTGAAATTGGATTTTGTGGTTCACTGACCAAAATCAAGAAGATAAAAAAAAAAAAAAATCATTTCTGTTTGAAGTAAAAGGGTCCAATCCTGTTATGATATATATCAATTCAGTATTTCAATGCTTGCTGTAAACTGACATGAAGTTCTGCAGTTGACTTACTACTGTTCCATTTATCTTTGTAGCAAAGATGGGTTAATAAAGTTACCACTCACTAGTTCAGCAGCAGAAGAAATTTCTGTGTCTTCATTTACAAATGGATAAATCATGTGCAAAATTGTGACTTGATTCCACTGTGATTTAAATTCTTCCATTAAAATTATTTACTTTATAACTACTGCAAAGAATCTACTGTGACATAAAATGTTAGCAATAGAAGCATCTTAGCACTTTCGTTTGTATTGTATGCATCTTATGATGTACCAATGCATGCTTAATATGCTAACAGCAAAACACAATAATGAAGGAATTTTTCAGGTGGAAGCATTTCAAGAAGCTTTTCAGTCAAAAGCAGTCAAAAAGCACTGATTAGAGCCAGGTGTTTCATTAGAACCATCAATGCCTCTAAATCTTGGCTTAGGACACTGTGGTCTTTCACAGCATTGACGTATTTTAGGAGATATGGCCTTAACAGTGCATATCTGAATTATTGTTAATATCTGAATTGTTACTGTTACAGCAGTAGCCATCCTGATTATGTACCAAAGGTCTTGGGAGTGTGGGGAGGTCCCTGCTGACTAGAAGCTAGCCAATGTTATTCCAATTTACCAGAATGGTGTGAGGGAAGACCCAGGGAACCACAGACCTGTTAGCGTAACCTCAGCTCCTGGAAAAACTATGAAGAAGCTCATACTGGGTACTACTGAAAGGCATTTAAAGAGCAGTAGAATCATCAGGCACAGTAAATATGGATTCACAAAGGGAAAGTCCTGTTTAACTACTTTGATTTCTTTCTATGATAAGGTCATTCTGGACAATGCCCTTAGCAATATGCTTTAACTTGAAGTGGTCAGGCAGCTGGGCTAGATGATGATTGTAAGTCCTTTCCAACTGAACCTCGCCTCTCCTCTCCTCTCCTCTCCTCTCCTCTCCTCTCCTCACAAGCAAGCGAAACCTCTAGGGGATTTCTATGGTAAATCTTTTGACCATTGTTAAGAAGCCTTATTTTTCATGTAAAAATATGAAATATTTGGGGGTTTGTTCTGTTGTGGGGTTTTTTGTTTGGGTTTTTTTTTTTTCTTTTTTAAATTTAGCATCCACAGCAAAGAGATGAGAACATGAGTGCTTACCATACAGACATGTACCTCAGACAGTTACCCCAAATCAAGGAGGGTAAGAAGCCACCTAGGCCCCTCAGCCTGGAAATAAGCCATGAGAGGTTTTGGTGTAGAAGCGGCTAAAGGTTGACATCGCTTGCAATGAGTGACACTGTAAAGACACTTCTCACATATTTTTGTGTGAGAAAATCTTTTCTTTATCCCTTATTCAGTGTTGAAGGAAATGCTGCAAGTTTAGGAGAGACCTGGCTGCAACTTTGAAGTGAATGGATTTATTCTTGTGTTTTACTTAAAAAAAAGGAGTAAGAAAACTTCACATACCAAAAATTCCCAAGAAGACAGCTGTCAGGGGGTGACATGTCGGATATGAAGTGGCTCTCCAGCTGGTCCCTGTCTGCATGCTGGGAAGGCATGTGGAGACATTTTTTCAATTGCTGTACTAGTTTGACACGTTCACAGTGGAAAATGATGTATCATTCTTGAGCCTTTGGTTGGTGGACACTTCAAAGTGCATTGGATCCTCAGAGAGGAGTGCCCTATTGTTAATTGTTCCTTTCACATGTACATTGGGATGAACATGGTGAGAGCAGCGAGGAACAAAAGGGCTCCGGTGGCCTCTTAGAGAAAACCCTGTGCAGCTCAACCTGAGTCTGACCTTGAAAGGGTGGGTTGCTCTGGTTTTTAAAGCCTGATCGCCAGTTCATTCCCCTCGGGCTCCCTGCTGTTACTCAGCTGCAGGGGAATGGGATGCCGGAGCAGGGAGGGCAGTGGGGCACGAGGAGCCCCTCCACTGGTGCCATGTGGTGCCAAAGAAGCTGCATCCTGGGCAAGCGTCCTTCCTCTCCAAGCCCCAAGACCGTGCCTGTCCTCTCTTGGGCTTCTGCAATGGGCGTGTTGGAGGGGTGCTGGGTTTCCCTCCAGTGTGCAGGAGAGCCATTTTGGTCCTCCTCAGTTTAACTGGCTCACTAGTCCTCAGGGTCAGAGCACAGTCCAGGGGTTCTGAGCCCCTGTGATTGGATATAGGGTCTCATAATAAGTGGTGTGAGTTTCTCAGGTCTCTTCTGAGGACGCAGTTCACTAACATATTGAGACAATCCTTTGCTTCCAGGCGCCTGTCCTGTGTTTCTCTGCCTCTCCTTCTCATCCCCTTGGGCAACTGACTAGATCTATTTAGAGACTGCACTGTACCACATGGTGTCAAGGTTGGATTCAAATGCTCAATCACAGGAGGCACTTGATTCCTACAAAAAGAGATGTGATCCCTTGGTGTGCATCTTTTGAAAACCTCTCCCTCTATCCTGGGTTGCACAGACGAATCTGTGTTTGGTCACAGAGAGGCCAGTCCCTGCCTAGCACATCCCAAAACAGATGTTCAGGCAGGTGACTGGAAATGGCACATGCCCCTGTCCCCCCTGAAATGAGCCGAATCGAGAAGATTTTGCAGAGATTTGCATGCTGGTGTGAGGCAGATGATAGAGGCTGCAGGCAGGGCTAGCTGCCCCAGGTCTCCCAGGTCATGAACTGCTTCTGAAATAGAAACTGGGAGGAGAGAGGCCTGCCGTGGTGCCAAAGGCTCTGTAGTACCTCCTGCTGCAGGATATCCTGGCCCTGAGATCTCCCTAGACCTGAAACACCTGAGCCCCTTGTGCTATCACATGTGGCTGAGGCCAGACTGCAAGAAATGATGTGAATAGGGATGGCGGCACTGGGCGTACCAGTATGGAGACACTGAAGAGTCATTCCTGAGGTCTCTGCCCAGAGTTTGTTATAATGGTACAGTCTGGATCTTGCTCTTCTCCAAGAAAAATGAAAGCAATAGAAATACAGTAAAATAACTGTAAAATGTAGCTGTTTTCAACCCTCAATGCTCAGGCCTTTGATGCCTCACATCAGTAAGATAGATTTTACTTGCAAAACTGCTTGGACTTCAGTCCCTGCTTTCCCTGAGGCACGTGTGTGTTTGGACCAGAGCTGGCAGCATCTTCCTGAGGGTGGGTGCACACCTCCTTCCCACCCCCAGGGTGCTGCAGGGTGGAGAGGGGGAGCGGTGCTGCTCTGGCCATGGGATGGAACGGGTCTGGGGGTGGCACATGGGCTGCTGCCAGCTCTGTGTCCTTGGTGTACACGGGGCACACCGAGGGCAGCCCTTCTGCTCTCCAGCTCTCAGTTTTACCGTGCTATTAAGTTATTGCCACCCCTTAGGGACAAGCCTGCGAGAAGGCGGAGGGCTCTCATAGCTCTGGATCAGTAAAGGAAGCAGCTCAATTAGCATTTCACACGCCTTTTCTTCCCTCTCTTCTTACCTTCCCTGCAGCGGGCATGCTTTCCCCTTAAAGGATTGTCCTGTTTCTGCTCCTTGCCAGCGTTGGCAGGGTGACAGTAGTCGAGTGTGCAAACTTGTGCTATTGTCCCCAGGCCAGGGGGAGTCATGGAGACCCACTAATATGACACAGGAAAATGTTTGCTGATGGCAATTCTATGGGCTTTGTCTAACTCTTTCTCCATCATGACGACTCGATTTAAGTCTCTAACTGTTTGACTACAGATGCAAGAGTACTATCCAACTCCATCCTTTTGTCCGGGTGGTTTGAATGGGTAATTCAGCTTTTGTGTAACTCAATTGAGGGGGCAAACATAAAGACAAGATTCTTGAGCGCTCAAGCTCCCTTTCCATGGATATCTGCACATCTCTTTAGAGATTTGTTCCTTTCCTACCTTTTTCTGACATCATCCTCCCCTTAAAAAAAAAAAAAAAAAAGGCTCTGATGGGGAACGGTTAAAAGTAGGCTAGCCCAGTCCCCCGTATTACATTGTCCTGTGCCAATGAAGCATGGTTAGTATCAGCCCTCAGACAGCACCGGGGAGTGCGAAGAAAACAGTGTCAAAACTTTCCTAACTCATCCTCAGCATTTTCGCTTCAGATTGTGCCATTTTTAAAAAGAAAGGCCTTGGTAGGGGTGAAGAGGATAGGGGAGAATGGTAGAAATTGTGGGGAAATGATTGTATTTATTAGCTGTCTTTCTGTGGCTGTCCCCATGGCGACAATTTGTGATGGCAAAGAATGCGAGGAGGGGAGGCTGATGCCTGATTGGGATGCTTTGTATTTGGCAAAGTGGCTTCTGATTGGCCTGGGAGAGCCCCGAACTCGCCGGAGTCGATATTCATTCAGCTTGCTCAAGTGCTCGCTAAACTGCGTCCAAACACTGGCGGGCCCCGGCTGCCTCCGCCGAGGTTGGCGGTGTGTAACCTGCCTAACGAGATTAGCGGGGAAGGGGCTCTTCTCCGCAGCGACGCCGCCAGCACCAGCCAGAAAAGCCGCCGTGTGCCGGGGTGAGTGTCCGTGCTCGCTCGTGTACAGGGAGGTGGGATCAGCCGCCCCGGCTGCTTCTTTTTCCACCTAAGCGCTATCTAACAAGATTAAGCGTGGGGCTGGCCGGCATTCGCCAGCCCGTCCGTGCATGCCGGGGCAGCGGTGCGGGGCGGTGGGATGCGGGCACGCGGCGGCTCCACTGGGAGTTTGCCGGCACGGAGGTGAGCTGATGGACAACCTGTTTGTGTGGATGAGAAGTTTGACATGTGTGTGTCCCCGGGCTTCCATTTGCCTGGTGCAATTTGAAACGAGGCTTCCTGCTTTTAAGTCTGTCTGTCATTTTTCCCAGGTTTGTCCAGAGGCGGATTATAAACTTTTAATGGGAAACTCCACGCGGCACATCCAGTGAGATGGCATCGGACAGCGAGGTAAAAACCCTACTGAACTTCGTCAACCTGGCCTCCAGCGACATCAAAGCGGCTCTGGATAAGTCGGCTCCTTGTCGCCGGTCAGTTGACCACAGAAAATACTTGCAGAAGCAGCTCAAGCGGTTTTCCCAGAAGTACTCACGGATCCCGCGGTGCCACCCCGGCAAAGCCCCCGAGAGCGGCTGGCGCAGGGTGGTGGAGGACCGGGGCCGTGTCCCCCAGCCTGAGCTGCCCGACCCCAGCCCCCATGGTGGGGCTGTCACCGAGAAGGTGCTGCGGACAGGCGAGGCGGAGGAGAGCCTCGCCAGGGAAGGGGTTTTGCAGGAGCAAAACCCCGAGGCCAGCAGGCCGGACCAGGTGCCCATGAGGAAGCGACAGCTCCCCGCCTCCTTCTGGGAAGAGCCACGGCCAGCCCCGAGCCTGCCGGCCAGGGCCTTCCCTGCCGCCATCGAGGGGCTCCCGGCCCCCAGAGACCCTCCTCCCTATGAGGGGAAGAAATGCAAACGGAGCTCAGACACTGCCAGCCCAGAGAGCCCCCCCGAGCCTGCCCCACATGCCGGGGACAAGGACCCTGTTGGTGTCCTCTCGGGCCGGGTGGGTGCCTGGACCTGCTGCCCCTTCCCCTGCCCTGGGCCAGGGGTGTACCAGGCCCCGGGCACGCTGGCCCCATCACCATTCCCTGGGCTGGGGCTGTGGAGGAAGAGTGCGGCCGCGTTACCAGCTGAGGTGCCACACTTCTGCAAAGAGGCCGACGGCACGGGGCAGAAACTCTACCGGCCCGTGGTTTTGAAACCCATCCCCACCAAGCCTGCCGTCCCCCCGCCGATCTTCAATGTTTTTGGCTATCTTTAGCCCCCTGGGGTTGGGGGGGTATCAGAGTCATGGTGAACACGAGTGCTCCTGAGAGTGAATTGCAACGCCCGGTTGGGCGCCGTGGGGGGAAGGAGGCCAGCCATCGCACCCGCTTCCTCTTGGGTGGGCTGGAGAAAATTAGTAACTGTCGGGAAGCTACTCAGGCTCTGCTCTCCGCTCCTCCACACGGGTGGAAATTGGGAATAAGCTTTATGAAGCTGGTGGGACGGAGTGTGAGGCAAAGCAGGGCTCTTTCATCGACGGGCATTGTCTGAGCTGCAGCGAGTGGGGCCGTGGGCTGCTCGCACCCACACTTGTAACACCTAGAAGATCTCCTCCATGTGGGAACATCTTTCCAGGGTTGCCCTACAGCAGCAGCAGCAAAATGAAATGAATTAAACCTCTTCAAAGAGTTTTTGTACTTTTAAGTAATTCCAGAGAAGTCAAGATATTCAGGTCACTTCCTTTTATGTGCAAGAGACTGGAAGGACAGTATTTAATGTAGAAACCATGGCTATGAATTGATTTAAGCTCTTCTTGTATGTAAATACTGAGAGAATTAAAAGAAAAAAATAAGGGAAGAAAGGAGGTAATTTTATTTTGGCAATTCTGCAAATGTTGTCTGTTTATTTTTGCCCCACTGGGTAGACACAGGTTTGGGTTGCAAATGGTGCGTAGATATGAGGGCTGAAATCTCTGCCTATTCAGAGTGATGTAAATAAAAAGTAATTCTGCTGGGGCTGGGAAATTAGCTAGTGCTTTTAATTGGAGCTGGTGAAAAATTAAGCAGGTGAAAATGAAAGCAGGATGAATTTCCGCATCCTGAAATGTTCTGCATCAACAGAACAAATGAGAAATTGTATTAGCTGAATACAAAAGCATAAGTATGATAGAAGAAAAAAGTGTATAGAATAGCCTGCCTTGATTTTGGCTCACAGACATCTTTTATCTTGCCTGATTTTGAGATGCTGTCACGAGACCTGGCTGCAAATGGTTTGCCTGTTATTTTCTCAGTTCTTTTAACAAATTTGTGTTAGAAAAGTTAATAGCTTGGGTTTCTTTTAAGTTAGATTTCTCTTAAACCCATGAAGAAAGTAGTACTAAGGCACAGAACCTGAGATCTGAAAGGTTTAATACTGCTGGCCTATGTCTCTTCAGTTATACTGGAGTAAATCACTGAGGTCAGAGAAGTGTATTATGAGGCAAAAAAAGGCCAAAGTGTGGACACCCGTGATCTCCCAGGGCCCAAACTTGCTAATGGGAACTTCTCCCAGGATTCAATAAAAAGTGCCCTCGATGGGCTTGGTGTCTGGCTAATGTAGCTTTGTATCTCTATGAGGGGAAAAACAGGCAACACTTATTTCGAGCACATTACAGTCATGAAAAAAAAAATTATCATCTTAAGCAATTGTATGATTTTGAATCTTCTGATCGCGCTTGGTGTTATATTACCTGGTGAGGGTAATATACTTACTTTTGTGAGGGTATGAACTACTCTAAGGCTAAAAATAGCTAATTCTTTTCCCAAACCTCACAGTACATCCCAAAAATGTTTACTTTGATGGAAACAATGGTTGTAATGTGCACCATTAGTAGACACAGACATGGCTTTCATTGCTTTCTCCATGCTACCAGCACTTAATATATTTATCTAGCCTGTAGGCTACTCATGTAGGAGAGAGGAAATTACTTTGGTCGCACATACCTGCAATTACATCCAAAGTGCAAGGTGGTAAAGAGCTGAGCTAAGGGTTAAAAACATCAGGTTAGCTCTTGATCCAGAAGTGAAGATACTTAGATATCTTTCTCTTTTTGTCTTTTTGGAAAAAAAAAAAAAAATCCATGGGGACACTCTGTCCCTAGCCATGAGGAGTCTGTAACGGAAACTAGAGGCAGTACTTCAATTTAAGTCAAAGGGAGGGGAACTATGGCTCTGAATTTGCAGAGCTGTAGGTAAGGAATTTTTTACATGGGAACAGAGGTGCTTTCTCACCCCAGTAATTCTGTGTCACTGTTGTAATCCAAATGAACCCAGATGCTGAACTCTGTCTGAGTGCTGTCAATGCAGAGCAGCCTCCTTGGCACCAGTCTGGATTTCCACCCGAATGACCAGAGCAGGTCATGGAACAAACCACAGATATTGCAGTGATTGCTGTGGACAAGTGCTCCTGCTTGAGTTCAGAAGGGAAATTTGAAAGTGATATGAATCTCGCCTGAATATGGATTTCTATCAAAATTAAAATACTTGGCAAAGTGGATAGCCTCTCTAGAAATTTTGTTTCTGAAGAAATCCATAGAAAGAAGAGAGTTAAAATCAGGTTTCTACATTTGGATATTAAATTCTTTGGTTTTTTTTTTTCTTCTTTTGAACTGTTTCTTACTTGAATACATGAGGGCAGCTGTGGGGAGAAGGACTCGGGGGTACTGGTGGATGAAAAGCTAGACATGAGCTGGCAATGTCCGCTTGCAGCCCAGAAAGCCAACCACATCCTGGGCTGCATCAAAAGAAGCATGGTCAGCAGGTCGAGGGAGGTGATTCCAGCTCTCTGATCTACTCTTGTGAGACCCCACCTGGAGTACTGTGTCCACCTTTGGAGTCCTTAGCACAGGAAGGACATGGACCTGTTGAAACAGGTCCAGAGGAGAGCCATGAAGATGATCAGAGGGCTGGACAACCTCTCCTAAAAAGACAGGCTGAGAGAGCTGGGGGTGTTCAGCATGGAGAAGAGAAGGCTCTGGGGGGAACTTATAGTGGGCTTCCTGTACCTGAAAGGTGCCCACAGAAGAGGTGGGGAGGGACTCTTGATGAGGGAGTTTAGCGATATGACAAGAGGTAACGGTTTTAAACTGACAGAGGGAAAATTTAGATAATAATTTCTTCCAAATATGGAAGAAATTCTTTACTGTGAGTGTGGTGAGGCACTGGAACAGGTTGCCCAGAGAAACTGTGGATGCCCCATCCTTGGAGGTGTTCAAGGCCCGGCTGGATAGAGCTTTGAGCAACCCGATTTAGTGGTAGGTGTCCCTGTCCATGGCAGGGAGGTTGGAACTAGATGATCTTTAAGGTTCCTTCCAACTCAAACCACTCTATGATTCCATGATTCTATGTTGCTGTACCTTTTCCATGTAGTAGAATAGCATGTTTTTAAGTTATGATGAAGAATTGAACCAGACTGTCCCAAATTACCTCTGTCACACAGGTATTTATGCACTTACCCTCAGATCTAAATGGATGTTACTTTTTAAAATCCTTCGTGACGTTTAACTTCCCACTCCAGCCCAGGGCAGGCAGTAAACCACAAATGACGAGAAGACAATTAAGTATATTTGAAATCACTGACTGGGGATTTGTGAGACTTTCTAAAATGTTTACAAAGAATAGCAACTCTGCCTTCTCTCTAGAGATACTGTTCTCTCACGCCTGAGATTAACATCAACATTGATTCAGAGTTTTCCTGACTATTTTTGTGTTTGGTTGTTCAATGTTGATATTCAGGACAGCTGATAGCCCTTCAGAATTTACTTGTTTATTCATACTTAGTTTGAAAGATGAAACATAACATTCAAGAGCTACTATTTACTACAACAATGCAAATTTAAACCACAATAGCTTTTATAAATAATGGCAAGAAGAGGTAAATGAAAAAGCTTTCATACAAAATGAAATAAAAAATCACAAAAGTGCACAAGAACATCAAGTGAATTGCACATGTTGAAGTAAAAAAAAAAAAAGTACAGTAACCTGGTCATGAAATATTTCTAGAACATTTCACATAAAGTCATCATCTCTGAATGAGTATATCTATCACACCCAGTAAAAACAAGCCACTTTACCTTTCACTAGAACTACTGATCTGCTTACAAAGCCTGGTTTGTTTGGGTTTTGGGGTATTTGTCTTTTCACAGTAACTTCTAGATAGATGCATTAAATATACAATGAATTTGTGCAGATTCAGTATTGCATACAAAATATTGTGTCAATGACTAGAGTGGAGAGGTAGTGGGCTCCATTTCAGTGCAAATAAATGTAAACTGAGTGTGTGAAGATTTGCTCTAAGGATCAAGCAGAAAGCACTTAATAACATTGCAATTACCAGATTCCCTCACTAACAGCCTCTTCTCTCTTCAGTTTCTGTGTACAGTGTCCCCTTATCCTTCCTGCAGTTGCGTTAAGTTCCCATCAGACCAGTGCTCTCTCTAGATCAGTGACTCTCCTGTTCAGGACAGATGGTTGAGAGCAACCAGGGTCCTCCCAATAGAGACGAAGGTCTCTTGGTTGAAAGAAGAAATAGGCTTTCTATACTTTCTCCACTCAAACCCAGTTACAACTTCTCCAAGGACATAAAAAGAAATCACAACTCGCGAGACTTGTGTACATAACAATGTTGGCTTAGGGGAGATTCCCAGTGTGGGATAGCTTATGAAATCCCACCCCTGTGGTTATACATACAGTTGGTGACTGTGAATCCTTCTATCAGCTGTTGGTCTCCAGGGCTGTCATTGCACACTAAAAAAGCACTTAAGTAAATGGTTTCCAACAAGCAGTGTCTGCATCCATTACCCTATATGACTCTGCTCTGTTACTCTCATTTAATTTCAAGGAATTTTCTTCTGATCTCTATCAACATGAGTAGGACCCAGACCTTCACTGCTCGGTGCCATAAAGTGAGAGTTGCTTGGACTCCACAGGTGATTTTCCATCTCCCAAGATATTGCTTACCAATAGATGGCCTTCCTTGGCAAAACCAGTCTAAATATTTCCTGTTCCCCATTCCTTTCCCTCCACCCAGTATTCTTCTGAGAAGCAGCAATTCCCCATTCATGCTGCAGGAGACAAGGGGGTAGGGTCTTAAACTGGTAGCAATGGAAGTCACTGGACAAAATTTCAGCAGTGGAAGAATCTCACATGACTTTCCAAAGCTTTGCAAGAAGATCGCTGTTTAGTGTGAATTGAAACTCTGTTGGTTTTTCAACTTCTTTTGCATTTGGAAAGGGGACAGCTATGGACAGAATGCCTGCAGCTATAAACAACTCTTCTTCTGCTCACATCCTGTCCCACAAGTGCTGAACATATTTCACACAAACCATCACAGAATCTGAACTTGTGCGCCCAGACAGACTTGTATGTGTGCAACACACTTTTAGTCCTGTGTTAAGGTACAAAACTCCACACAAATAAAACTCGGTGCAATGCATTTTCCCTACTTACATTTCTATCTGATACCATGGATGCTACGCAGGCCAACAAACAGAGCCAGATCTGTCAGGTCTCTGGTGGGGAATCCAAACAAACCATGGTGCACAGCTCCTTTGTCACCTAAGGTAAGAATGAGCATGCTTCTAGCATGAAGTCTGCAAAGGCTTAGTTCTGAAATTTAGGCTCTTCCATTCTTACTGAGATGCCTAGTCAGGAATAAGGCACTCATCAGATCAGTGGTTCAGCAAGTCACACCTGTCAACTGGGCTGTAGTCACTGCCAATAACTGTTCATGGGCTCCTCAGCCTCCCCAGCTGTGAGGGAATGTGACTTGTTAAAAACTTCAATAAAAGAATTTCACGGACAATTATAGCGGTTCAGCTGATAGATGGTAACTTGTTAAACTGCCATAAATCAGTTGTGGATCTGAGCTGTAAATAGGTGACCTAATTTTCAAAGAAGCTGAGATAATAACTTTCATCAGTGTCAAAGGGAGCTAATAGATACTTCAAACTTCTGAAGTCAGGAAATTCAGGGCAAAATCCTAAGACTTTTATTCTGCCTTAGTAATATCTGACACCAAATGCGGTTCCCATTGGCTTAAGTGGAACCACACCTGGTGCAAGCAATGTGGCATTGTTTAGGCACCTGAATAAGGATTTGTAAGCCTCATTCTGGGTATTTGTTTTCATAAAAGTCTAAGTCTGACTTCCATAATTTTGAAAAAAATCTCCCTTTTCTTCCAGTGATGGTACTGTTATAGCCACAGAGGTCCAAGGAGCAAGAGAGGCTGGGTTTTGTAGGGACAAGATCTTCTTGGGGAGGAACGGATAAAGTTGGTTTAGCAGTGTTGCCTCTCCCTACGTACCTTGCCTCTCTCCTTCACATCACTTTCTGTTCCTGCTCCTCTGTGGCTTTGTGCTGTTCTGACACCAGCTTCATGACAGAGTAAAGCTATTATTTACAGTGCAGCTACTTCTAATTTACACCAAAAAAAAAAAAAAAAAAAAAAAAAAAAAGCTCAGAGTTGCTTTCAAATCCCCAGTCTAGGAAATTCTCTCAAGCAGAATTTCACCTACTTCTTATTGCAAATATAATACAAACTGAACTATATTCACTATGTGCAACTACAATTCTTACACCCTTCTTAAAGAAACCTTTCCTTGACTTTTAAAGGAACCAGCATTTCTGCATGTTAGTCTATTAAAAAGTTCTGATATTTGAATATTCAGAAATCAGGTACTCAATAAGTCAAAAAAAACAGAAAGGAAGAGTGTTAGCTAGATGGTGTAAAAGTATCAGGGAATTAGCAACCAGCACACTTAGCAGAAATCCAAACAGTAGAATAGAAACGAAAATAAAGATCTCAGTCAGTGACGGAAATGTGATTGTTTTCCCAAATATGGAGATTCTTGACAATTTCTGAATTGTGATCACAGCAAGGATGCTAAGCTCCACCACACCCCCAGGATACCTTTGAATTCCTCACTGATACTTGCTTCAGCACTGTGCATTTCTCAGTGTTGGCTTTCATTTCTTGCTCTTTGCAGATCAAGATCTGAGGTGTATCGTGTTTTCTCTTGGAAAACCTAACAACGGTCCTATGTTTAGCTCTCTGTCTCTCTGTTTTCTTCTCACTGATGCTTCAGAAGCATATATCTCTTAGATTAATGATTGGAGGGCGCTTGACCAAGCCAGCAGCAATTCCTCCCCACCATGCACGATATGCGCCCTCGCCATGCCGATGACGTTGGGTTGCCGTGCCAGGAAGCCGCTGCGTGTCCCGTGTGCCTGGGCTCACTGCGTGTAATCGTGCTTTAAGTACCGAATCAGCCTGTCCGGGAGAGGCAAGGTGTCCAGAAGTTTAATGCGGTTTCTTCCAACTAAGCTTCGTACCTTGATGCGGCAAAGATGGGAAAGAGGTCGTGGGGGTTCTGAAAGACAGGCAAGACAGATACATGAGTGGGACTGTTTTAAACTTGAGAGGCACAGCTTCTCCTTGGGAGAAGGAGGAATGGAAAAAGGGGGCTTTTCTGTAATGGAGGGATGGTGCATCTAGCATTGGTGGCAGCTCATCTACCCCGAGGCATGACATAGGGAGGGAAGTGGGGCTGGAGGGTGGAGTACTGTATCCCATCTCAGCCTTAGCAGTGGGATTTCTAGGATGATCTAAACAAAATGCCTCACAGTACTCTGTCCTCCCACTGAAAATAAATGTAATATGTACCAAATTTAGCTTGGTGCCAGAAAACTGATTCTGATAATGCCTATGAATGACTTTGGATCCTGGGGCAAAAGATGTTTATGACAGCAGGATATTAGCAAAGGCTTTAAAGGCCACTGGTGGCTGCTGGGGAGATGGTCATGCTGCCCACCTGCCCTGGCCTGACTGCACCCCAGCTGCAGCCTAATGAGCCTTTCTGCACTGGCAATGGTCCTTCCCCGTGGGCCAGGTCCACAGCTGCTGTACATTTAACATCACAGACTCAGTGACACCCCAGTGATTTCTAGTGCCTCATACCTGGTCTAAAACGCAATTCAGTCTCAGCAGGGAAATCTTATCAAGTTTAAGGGATGAATACTAAGGGGACATGGTGACTGAGGTTTTGAATCCAATAGTGGGACTATTTGTGCCAGATTCTCTCCTGGGTGACCATACCTGCTTTTTCTTTAATGACAGCCCAGTCCTCATAGCTGTCGATGTGCTCCTTGAGCCGGGAACAGAGCTGCACGTTACCCACATAATCCAGGAGAACATCGATGATTGGCCCGGCCCAGCGACTCATCTCTGGAGTGGACACCATTTCACAAAACTTAAAGGAAAAACAGATTGACTACAGTGAGTGGGACATGAATGCACCTGTGGAAACTGCAACTACAGCAACAGCCCTGACAGCATCGGTGGTCCCACCCTTCTACCAATTGCCAGTTTCCCCTCAAAAAACTTCAACTAAAGCATCTTTTTTTTGGCAATTGAGTGCAGAATCTCCTCTTTACTTGTCTGTGGGAGAACTGTCCTGGCCTAATACAGCGCAGAGGTGGCTTCTGTACTCAGTCCTGGATCAGGGAAATCTGTTGCCTTCCGTTCAAACTGCGGAGTACTCAGAGCCATTGTATGGTGGGCTGCTTACAGAGATACTGAAGAACAGACTTAAGGACCTGAGTTTAAGCAGTCTCATTTCAAAAAAGTAATGACTTCTCTTTCCACTTTGCATAAATATGCATATTATACCAGACAGCTTCATCTATCTCTGTTAGGGTGCTGCATATGATGAAGATATCTGTGGACTTGTCTGCATGTGAGCAGTCAGAAAATTTAAGATGAATTAAATCACGCTGTGTGGATAAGAGCTCTGGCACGTGGCTGAACCCAATTGAATGATGGTGGCTTAAGCACCATCCATCAGCTTAGTCACTGCAACTGTCTGCGGGTACCCTCCAAGCCCACCACAAACATGAAAGATAAAGCACCAGCTTAAACCTCTTTCAGTTTAAGCTCCTGTAACTAGATCACATTTGATTATACATGCATGAGCCCTAACTCAAAATGCATTAAACTCTAGTGTGGATATGCTTATTCAGAAATAAAATTATATTCTCTCACCTAGGAAAGAATAACACTGCAGAAAATTATAAGGCCATTATATTAAAGGTGACAGCATTCACAGAGGTGTTTACTACACTTCTGATTTTTATTTTTTTTTTCCCACTGAGCAATCACCATGCAATGTCTCCCAGGAAAATTAGATACAGTAACGTCAGGAGGATTGCAGAGGACAACCCACTGTTTTCTACCCAGGAGTTCTGTTTTGTATATCTGGCTGTTATTTTCCAGTGCATACACCATTGCCATGCAGTTACCCATAGGACATGCAAGCTGGGGATCTGCACTGCCACCTACAAGCAGTAACTCCTCTTCGTCAGAGTTTAAATGAGGACACGTGTGCTGAGCAATAAACACTAGATCTTACTGCTTTCCTCTTCGTGTCTCCCCCAGAGATCTTGCCAGACTTCTTCTACCCTCCCTATTCACAACCTTAGCCTACAAAAACATTTTCTGGAAAAAAAAATATTCCAAAACATGTTGCAGGAAAAGAACCACAGCAAAACAAAGGAAAATAATGCAAACCTGCAACTACAGGCAATGGGGATTGACTCAGGGACAAAGCGACTGCGAGCCTGCAGTCTCAGTGGGCCTCTGATTGCCCTCTCGTGGCAGTAGGATACTTCACTCCCCACGCTCACAGTATTGACACTGCAATTCTGGGTATGTGGAGTGAGACAACAACCATTTTTCGGCATTCACTTTCTCCAGGATACATTAACTTAGTAGCAACACTAATGATTTATAGTTACGCATTTTTCAAATCCACCTCCAGTAGCTCATAGCCTTTACTACATAAAGACTCATCATTCAGATTTATTATCCTTACATCATCTGTGCAAAAAATAAAAAATGCACAACTTTTGTGTGGAGAAGGCTGCAGTTTCATAAGATCTTCTATATTTCAGAATATAAATCATATCACAACTATATCATGAAGCTACACTGTACAAGCTTTACTTGTATTAGCCAAATTCCTAGCAGTAAGAAGTAAATTTAAAATAATATTGGATAGAAGGGATTGATTTTTCTCTGTATGCATTTGTTTGGGATTTCTTTGTTGTGTTGCATGTTAAAGAACAGCAAATTTTGACTGGAGGGTCAGATTTTCTTTGAGATATATTGGAAGAAGTCAACATACAGCGATCAGAAAAAAAAAAAAAGAAAAAAAGAAGTGTAATCTGAGATTTTGCAAAGTCCTTTAAAGGACTGAGAGTCTAATTCCAAATCAATGGAAGCTGAGCTCAGCTGTGCTTTGGAAAGGACTGCAAAGATACACATGTAAAATGTGGGTATCTAAAATCTGTAAGTAACTTTAAAAATACAGAATCATGCATCTAAATCTCCTAATCTCTTTTCAAAACTTGAATATAACGCACAGTCATTCAGCTAATGTAATGATTCACACTCTCTCTCCAGGGCTGCTTATCCAGTAGGATCAGAAATTGCAACTATTTAGAATCACTAGTTTATGCTCATAAAATGAGGCCTAGTTTTAATCTAACCAGGAGCTTAAATTCCATATCAAACAAAACAAATCTTACAGGGCAAACAAAACAAGTAGGGTTCTGCTGTCCATGCGCTACTGCCCATGTGCTACCACCCGTATGACACTGCCTGTAAGAAAACATGCTTCACTCCTGGCACCTCGGGTCCAGAGGAAAAGAATATTGCAAATCTGATGGCAAGGCTGTCAAGACGGCTGTAGTTCACTTAAAATTCAAGCTAGGGCCACAGAGGCTGTTGTCTACCCTCCTGCTGTCATTGAACATGGACTTGGAATATTCACTAACTCTTATTGAGCCCTTTTTTTTCCATAAATAAAGTAGGAATAAAAGCATCGTCTCTCACAGGAAAGTTGAGAGAAAAAATACATTATTGTTGTCAAGATATATTGGGTATATGGGTATGAGAGATCCTCAGAAGTACTTTAGGTAGACTAGGCAGTTCTTACCTGTACTACAGTTGGCTCCTTGGACAGCTGAGGATCATTAAGTCTGTCCCGTCTGTAATTTAATGCAGGGTGTGGGCCGTTTCCATACTGACACTCAAAACAGGAACCTGCGTCACAGCCCAGATCCAGGAGATACTTCAGCACAGAAAGGTACTTCATCGAAAACATGATGGTAGCTGGGAAGGTAGTGGGATGACTTGATATATAGGCATCAATGTTTGCTCCATGGTCAAGGAGCAGTTTCATGGTCTTCAGGCAGCCGTGACGGATGGAGATGAGTAATGGGTTAATGAGGTCAACATTGGGGTTGGCTCCGGCTTGCAGCAAGAGCTCTGTGGCATAGATGTTATTGTTAAAAACAGCGAAATAGAGGGGAGTGGTGCGTCTGTCCTCGTAAAGGCAGGAGCGTTCATTGGAGAGGGCAGTGTTGACATCGTAGCCAGCATCAATCAGCTCTTCCAAAATGTCATCATTGTTGCGTTCAGCTGCTAAATGCAGGGGGCTGATGCCACTACGCTTGACACGGGTGCGGCTGGTCACAGGGATCAGCATGGAGACAATCCTGACGGGTGGAGAGTCAGTGAGCAACAGTGAGTTCTAGGGGATTTAGGGATCTACAAGTATAGCAAATCATAGCTGTAACCATAAGAGAGAGCCTGCTAACTTGGGCAGAGGGACAATTCTCTCTGAGAGAAACCAGTGTGTGGGCTTGAAATCTGTCAACAATTCCCTGTGCTCCTACCTTGCAAAAAATGCGAGTTGTTTGACTCCCTCTTTCACACAGGAACAAGTTTTTTTGGAATTATCACCCAGTTTCTATGAGGCAATGGCAGCTCCAGGGGCAGTTACAGTGGAAGAGATGATGTGCTGGCACCTGATCTACCACCTTGCAACTTCTTTTAGGTGCCACAGCCCAAATAGCAGACACCCAGCCAGGATCTCTCAGATGTTCTACACCTTCATCATGGTGCTGTGGGTACCATGATTGGGTAGGATTGGGGGAACAGGTGCAATGCCTGACGTGCCAAAAGGGAGGCTGTATCTCCCCACCTCAACTGGGATTGCTTTATTGCTCAGCAGAGGAGGGCTCCAACACCAAGTGCTGGTAGGCCTCGCGGGTCACAGCCACAGCAAGAGGCTTGAGATCAGAAAGGGGGTGAAACCAAACCTTCCTCTGCAGGACTGAGCTAGGATAAACTACATACTTTGTTCTCAGGCCTCCCCACTAGATTTTACAATTCAGTTATTGCCCGGGATGGATCCCCATCCTGGAGGCCCTTACTGTGTGGCTTTTGGCTCTGGCAAATCCATGGGTCTATCGACATTCATTCTAGATCAATTAGGAAAGGGAAGAAAAAGAAACAAAAATATTTTCCAGGCTGTTTTCCATGCTTTATCCCAAGGAGTAAAAATGTACAGTGAAGACCTAAACCCCAATAAAAAGGGATTGCTATTGGGAATTGCGATATAAACAGAGCAACATAAATCAAACTACTCTTGTAGCTTGTAATGTGAAGTTCAAATACATAATGTACAGGAGCTGTGCAGTTGCAAATCTGTGATCATTTTAATGTCTCTATTGTCATTGGAGATGCATCATCAGCCCCATGGTTAAACCCTTATTTCCTGCTCATAAAGTTGGGTGGTATAGCCAAGGCACTGACTTGATCCCGTACATACAGACAAGTCACCTTAAGCTACTTCCAGGAGGAGCCTGGTGACCATCCAACCTGAGTCTGTTCCTGTCCCAGGAGAGACCCATGCTCCCTATATAATGCCTGTGGAGAGAGGGATATCTAAAAAGGAACTTGTGGGAGCCACCAAACTAAGCACACCTTTTCCTCCTCTTCTTCCTCCCATGCAGACTCCTCTACCTAGCAGTCAACAGCTCTTCTAACACACAAACATACAAAGCTCAGTTTCCTACCATGTAGTGCGTTTTCTTTAAAATGCTGCATATCTTCAGCTTGACTGCAATGGCTGGTCCCAACACTGGGCCCTCAAACATATATGTACTAAATGAACTAAACCAAATATAAGCACTAGTCTCAGGAAAACCTCTGTCTGTGATGCACGGAATGATCCTGTGAAAGACAGCCTCCAACGCTCCCAGGAGCTGAAATCAGAGTTGAAGATGCATAACACTTTACAGGGTTATGTTCCTATTTACATAACGGACTGTTGATGTCTCCAAGTTATTTGTACTCTCATTTTTAAACAAAAAGGCTTTTAAAATTATATAAATATCTTGGGAAATTAAGCACTTTTTTTTTTTTTCTCCAGGCAGTCTCACTAATCTTCCAGTGCTGTGACACTCACCAGGGAGCAGGAGGTTTGGGTGCTGGTGAGCTGGCAACTTCCCAGCGTTAGCAAATGTTCTGTAAGAGCCATAATAACAAAAAGGGCACAGAGCACTGCGAAGACACCATGCCAAGTGCCAGCATTAGTCATCCCATGATCAACTGTTTTGAAGATTTAAGGGTCTGTTTTGTTCTTTGCCTCCAGCATGTGTTCTTCAGCCAGCTCTTCACATCTGAGTTAAAGAGGCACTGCATCATTTCTGTCTGCAAGGAGGACCTGAACTTCAACCCAGGGGTGCCACACTGAGGCTCTCTATCCCAAGGTTGCAATGTCCCAGACCTCAGTACACTCCCTGTACCCCAGATTTATTTTTAGAGGAAAAGCAGGAAGCATCAAATTTTTATCAGTTTAATATTTTAGCTTGAACCTGTCTCTCTTCCTCATTCTCCAAAGTCAGTTGATTCAGTAATATGGTGCCTTCACCTCTGCAGTCTTTAAAGTCTGTCTAGAGGGAGAAAGCAGCTCAAGTGAAGGTAGCCAAGGCCAAACAAGCCAGATCACATCCCACATGTCACAGGGCTGAGCTTCATGCAGAGTTTTGAAATAGCACTGAGTTTCCCCTTATCCCTGACACCTGCTTCTGTGATTTTTATTTATTACAAATTCTATGGAAGAGGAGGCAGAGCATCCTTAGTATGAGTGTGCCAAGAGTTTAGTGACTTGTGTTTACTTAATAAATCTGCCCACACTTCACTAAATCTTCCCTTCTCAACAACTGAGTTCCGAGGAATGAGTTAAATGACTGCTTGCAATTGTCCTACAGCTGATGAGATGACCCTTATGAATATCAGGTCAGTATTGACAAGGTGTCATTTAAAGTAAACAAACACCAAGCAATAAGAGTTGACAGTTGAGCATTGGGACCACATTCTTGGCTTTTTGATGGTAGGGAGCCTTCGTGCTCTGGCAAAAAGTTGAAGCATGGAATTCCTGCAGAATTACGTATTAAATCTGCAGGAATACAAAGAGAGGTCACCGTGAAGAGTGTTATTTTACTGAATACCAAAGGAATTAAGAATGATCAGCCAATTGGGATAAAGCTGTGTCATTTGGATAAATATTTATAAGGGAAGATCTTTTTCTTTTTTCTTTCTTTCTCACTTAGTTTGCAGCAGTTGTGCACAAAAATTTGTGCTCAGTGTTTTCAAGTGAAGGAGCACAGCATTTGGGCTGAATTCTGGTCTCATTTATGCTGCTGGTCGTTGGGAATAATAGACATGACACCTGAATCAGGACCTTTCTTTCTTAACATGGGGATGGACTCAGGTCGGGGTGTGGAACTATTGAGGAGAGGAAAAGATTCAGAGAACTGGTCCAGACTCTATATACAAATTGGATTCATACCAACTTACTGTACTTTCAGATGAACTGTTTTGAAAGTGAGCAACTGGAGCTGGGTTCTGTCTCTGGCACATTTCATCTAAAATGTGTTTGTTTTCAAGAAAATGTCTTTGTAACTCAAACCCCAGAGAAAATTTTGAATCGTGCCTGCATTACTCTATGCAGAGTATTCATGTACATGCTGTAAGCACATAAACCCATTACATAAATTCACATTGGGCTGCTCTCTGGAATACACAGCTTGCACAAAGAAGCAGGCCTACTCCAACTACAGAAAATTAATATCCTCAGGTCTATCAAGGTGATTTGAGAAGCTTAATTGGGATTCCCAAGCAGACCTAAATACTAGGATAAAAGATGCTATAGGAAACTGTAGTGCTGTCAAAAGTTTTCATTCCTCAGACATTGTGAAATATGTAAGAATCCACTCTAGCAGCTGTTTGCAAAGATAGCTTTACTATCCAGAAACAGTCTTTGCAGTTGAATATCCTTTGACTGTTGCTGAAAGGATTTTGGTAGAAACTGTGATAGTCAGAAAGTCCACTACACTCACTGCAAGATGTTATTGTGTTTTGCAAAAATAGCTATGTGCCATTGGCCCTCCCAGTAGCAAGGGGTTAAAGGCAGGAGATAAAACTTGCCCTAGGATCAGAAATAAATGCTAAGGACTTCATGCTTGGAAGCAGGCTGCAACAGCCCAGGTCTTGAAAGGGCTAAGTAAACACTACTTGCATGACAGTGCAGTCATGTAAACAGTCCCATCCCTAGACAGCATCTTCTAAATTGATATCCTTCATCACAGGCTTAGCAGAGTTTCTCCCCATCCTAGAAACACCTGTCCTCCAGAGGTCGGGTTACACCCAATTCCCGGTTATTTTTTCCATTAGTTACTTTTCTCACTATTCAAAGAATGTGTTCAGCAATATCCCAAACACATTTCATGTCAGAAGAAAAACACTGGATCTTTCTATGCATGTCTGTTACATTTAAGAGTCATTTAATCGCTCACTAATAAAGTGTATTTTCCAGACCATGAGTAATTCTTGTACTTCTTTTCTGAAGCATTTCCAATTTCCTGAAAGGTTTCTGAAAGGGAAGCTACCAAAACCGGACACCGTATTCTAGCAACAATCTCACTAATGCCCTAGAGATTCACTTAACCACTTCCCGCTGTCAGCGTCTGAATTATTGTCAATAAAACCTGAACACAGAGACGAGTGCAGCATGTTCTGTTTGTGCAGAGAATCACAATGGGCTCATGTAGATAAATGATCACAAACTATGCTGCAATAGCTATAGAGGACTAACCTTAATTGCCCTCCCAGACACACACAGATGCTTTTTATTCTATCTCAGGCAAATTTTTTGGAGCTTGGTTTAATTGAAATCCTAGGTACATGAGGTTATCCAGCTGTAATAGGTGTTATCTTGGCAAAACTCAAGGAATCTTGCACCCCACATTCCTGCTCACCCCACCCCATCCCAACCAGCAAACACATTCTTCATTTCTACACGATTCTATGAATCTTTTCATAAGGACTTTGGACTTTTGTCTAAAAGATGAAACTGTGAAATAAAGTAAAACTTACTCGCAAATCCCTTTTTTTGCTGCTATGTGAAGAGGTAACAGGCCATCCTTGTTGGCTTTGTTAGCATCTGCTCCTTGGGACAAAAGAAACTCCACAATAGGTACGTGTCCATTTTTACAGGCTTCATAAAGAGCAGAGGCGTTATCACTGGCTTGAGTATTTATATCAGCACCTAGGAAGGAAGAAAATCTTTATAGCACCAAAAGATAAAAATAAGATGTAAGGAACATACTTTGAATGAACATGTATGTTTCCATGACAATGGAGCTACAAAACGCGCTGGATGGGGATATGAATGAGGTCATATCAGAGGCGACACAGTCATATAAGTTCTATACAGTTATAACATAGTAATCCACTGGCTTTTAGTATGGTGTGGATTTTACGGGGGAGAGTTTAACGTGTGTGGCAACCATTAGCTACCATTAGCATGAAGGTTCAGGTTAGGCTCCAAACAGGAACCAAAAAAAGATAAGTATTATCAATGAGCCACTAGATTATTTGAGGCATTTTTTTCTTGAGCTCTAGCTTGTGCTTGGCTTAATAAAAAACATGCAAGAATAAACCAACATGTAATACTTGGCCAAAACCAATTTGGAACCTGTTATTTTCTGTGCTATATATTTAAGGCCTGAAAGCCTGGGCTTCAACTGTAATATACTGTACCATGGTGTCCTCAGGAAGGCTGCTCTGTGTGTATTCTAAATAGGAATGACAGTTCACTGGAGTTTCGCTTCTAAACTCCAATAAAGAAGCCAATCAGTCTCCTGTTTGATCAAGAAAACTCCCTGCCAAAGAGAACATTACCCTCTGCTGTCACCCCAAACTGAAACATCTGTGTTGTGTTTGACCCTTTGAAGATGTTATAGCTGGAAACATCAGGAGAATTGCAGTGATAAAACATAACACAGGACTATGTTCCTAATGAAAAAGAAATGAAAAAGAAGTCATTTTCATGATGAACTTTGATCATGCAGTGATATCATTCCTGGGATTCTCAGAGGAGCTTTTCAGGGCCTGAAACAATTGGGCAGTTTTATTGGATTATCTCCTGAGTATTTTTCTCAAAATTGAACTTTAAGGAAATCCTAATATCTACCTAAGTTGAAACACAAATCACATTCTGGCTTAGTTTCTAAAATTGTAGGCAGTATGATGGACTAACTGATTATATAAAACTGACTCAACAATGCTTGCTGGACAGCAGGAAACATTTTTTCTTTCCCCAATGCTCATATTTTTCTTAGCCATACTGACTGCTTCATACTGACTTTTTCTTATCTTCATCAGAAGTGCAGGACCCAATTCTTACCTACATTAGCCCACAGTGAGAATAAAATATGTCTCAGAATCATAGTAAAGAATGTTTTGCTTACTGTAAAGCTGTTTTACATGAATGGAGCCATAAAAGACTTTATTTTCAGCAGGATTAATTAGTGGAGGAGAGCTAACCTTGCCCATCACTGCACATATTCATGAGCAGATGGGGTTGGCTAATGTTCAGCTTCTGCCATCTATTACCACCTTTAGTTGTCTCTTATGACTGATTGGATTTTAGGCTACATGCATGTAGCAATACCGGTTTTGAAAGCTGTCAGGCAATGCAATTAGAGAGTACCACATTACTTCCCAAAGTAGGTGATCATAAATGAATGCTGAAGAAGCGTGCGTATCTAGACCATGCTCTCTGAAAGACCCTACAGAATTCAGCCATCTGGAGCGACAGGGTTCCAGATCCTCTGCAGGCTATGCCTTGTCTCCAGAGGCAGAAAATCTGAGCCAGGGGAGAATTAATGGGAACTTTGAAATATTAAGAATGAAATGAGTAAAAGCACGTAATGGCACAACTGTACTCACCGCATTTTGCCAGGTATCTCAAAGCTTCCAACTGCCCACTCTCAGCTGCCACAAATAAAGAAGTGATCCCATAGGCGTTCGCAGACTCAATCTTGGCACCCCCTTTCACAAGGATATCAATAATCTCCAGGTCATTTCGAGAGACAGCCTCATGGAGAGCAGTCCACCCTCGGTTACAACGGTGGTTGGTATCAGCATTGTACTGTACCAGGAGCCTTGCGGCCTCTGCATTCTTGCGCTCACAGGCTGTTTCGGAAAAAGGAGAAGTGATTAGGACAAGCTTTTGAAAGATTCTGGGTGTTGTGGTACCCATTTCATGTAGCATAAGGCAATATAATACAACTAGGCCATAGTGAGTAAGACCAAAGATGCATCTAGGTCAATATGACGGCCAAGGCTGCTGCCAACCAACATTGTCCAGGGTTTGCAAAGCATGTGGGTGTGAAGTCAATCTTCAGCTGGGACCTGGGGGAGGGTAAGCATCATGTACGGGACTGAGGGGAATCCAGCCCAGCACATTTGTACCAACCAGACACCACAGTGACACAGGGAGATAATTTCTAAAGAACAAACATGTTACAGAAATCACATGACCTGAACACTTTTTTTTCCAAATTCTGTCCAAACTGACTCTGTATCTTACTGCCCTGGACTGCTGATAAAGCTGTATATAGGCAAGAAAATAAAAAGCCCAAACCAACAGTGGCCCTGTGAAAAGGATCCTTAGAAAACAATAATTGTTTTAGTCAGTAGCACTCTCTTGGCTGGCAACAATTTATGAACATCAGGACCATGCTGCGCTAAAGGTATTTTAATGATAATTAATACTATTTTGTTGATTTTTATTCTACCAATTTGTTCCATTGCTTTTTGAATCCCAAATCATAAGGCTTCCTACACACCTTTATTGTTGGACCCCAAACCAAAGACACCTAGAATAAGCAGCCAGATTTACAAACCCCACTTAGCATTTGTTTTATAATGTGCAGAAAGAGAGGCCAGCACATTCCATAGCAATTGTTTTTTTCTTTGAATAATAATTTCTTTTTCTCACAGAGGTTTGGCCTTTTGTTTTTGATTCTACCCTTGGGACATCCCATAGCTTCCTCTCCCATACATAGGTGTCAGGTGTGAAAGCAACTGTCTGATTAGACACTGCTGTAATTACCCATGCATAGCTCTGCAGAGTTTAATTTGCTTCCATAGAGGGATAAGTAATTTGTTATGCTAATTTTTTCGCTCTTTTTTTTGCTGGAGGATAGACCAGAATATTTTGGCATCAATGCTAGCACATTCTTAATAACAGTTTTTCTCTGGCTAAAGGGTGCCAGAGGTTCATTTGATTGTTGTTATTATTATTGTTATTATTATTACTACAAGTAGTACTACTGCTGCTTCTACTACCACTGTGTTTAATGCACAGCTGAACAACTTTCCCGTAGTTGAGTATAAGCCAGAAGTTTAAAACTAAATCTTCTAAACTGAGCAGCGCCAAGCATCCAAAGTTGGAAGCAAGTTTACTGCTGAAACCAGCAATATGTTCTTTTTAGTATTTTAGAGCACCAAAAATAGTCATGACAAGAGCAGTCAATAAAAGTGGGAGGGACATGAAGGTGTGAGAGATCAGCTCTTTCTCGGAATCTTTGTGATATCATGAATGTAATGCTAAAGTAAGTGTTCTCTCTGACCAGCAGCAAAGTTATATGTACATGTCAGATACTTTATCTGAATTGTTTATAACTTTATGCCTCCCCCTAGCACACAGCCTAACCTGACCCACACAGGATATGAATCACTGGCATGTCTACAATTACTGTATCCCCACATCTTACTTAGGTCTTGCTGTTTAGAAATGCATACATATTCCTGTCCTACCCATTTTCCTGAAGGCTAGGACACTGTGTGGACACCCTGTGCTGAAAGGGCCCCACTAATTATCACAATCCCCACTCTTGGCACCACATCACACTCCACAGGCCAGCCACTAATTCTGGCTTCGATGTGGATGAGATGAGAAGCCATGGCACAGCAGGTCAGGCATAGAAGATAAGGAGGTAGAAAACAGGAGGTCATTGCTGCATTTCAGCCCCACACCACAATAGAACCTGCAGCCCTGCCTTGGTGCTGCCAGAAGAGCTCAGCATCCCTGGAAACACAGCCACTCACCTTTGTAGAGTGGCGTTTCTCTGGCCTTGTTGGAGATGTCGGGCTCAGCCCCAGCCTGCAGCAGGGTGAGCAGGCAGTCCAGGTTGCCCCGGCTGGTGGCCAGGTAGAGAGCCGTCTCCTCATTGAGTGTGCGCTGGTCGATTGTACCAGGGTATGCTGTGAAGAAATGGTGAGTCCAGAGTCATTATGGCATCTAGTGCACCATCTGCAGCACCATCACCTGCCAAAATCCTTGGAGTTTTAGGTAAGTTTTTGTTGTTTATTCCTTCTTTTAGTTTCCTTGCCCATGAACAAAGTAAGTTAACATACTATAAAGTCAGTATAACTCAGATTAACTTTCTAAACCAGTCACTGGTTCAGATTAAAACTTTCATCTATGGCCACTGGTGATGCAGAAAGCTGTTGAGATAGGCTTGTAGCAGTTTGAAAGCAACCTGGGGTAGTTCACCACTTTGAGTCACCAGCAAAGAGGTGCTGTGCTGGATCTCCAGCTTGTCAGAAGTGGGGTAATTGCTGTCAGCCATGGCAGCCGCAGCTCACAGCAGCCGGGAGCTCACCTACAAGGCTTTACTGTGAGAAATCCAGGACTTGGCAAGATCTATCTGGAGATCATTTTCTCCTGAAGATCCTGACTTTTAGAGGTTTCAGTCTGGAAACCTATTCTCAAAGAGGAGATGAAATTAATATACACTCAGGTTGAAAGAAAAGCTTTACAGAGAGTCCCAAGCAAGGACTGGGCTGCTGCTATTTCTGCTTTATATTTTATTCATATTAGTCTTCTCCCTTTTGTAATGAGTTACTTTTAACTTCACTGACCTTTTTGCAACAGGCTCAGGCAACCCACTTGGCCATAGTATGCAGCTTCATGGAGGGGTATCCAGCCGTCCTTATTAGGTTCAGAAAGGTTTTTTCCTGATTTCATCATGTTACATACTGCTTTTTCATCTCCATCCTTGATTGCTGCCACTACAGGGTCAAGTTCTCTTTAAAACAAGATTAAAATTAGATTACTTCTTCCTTCAATACTGAGAAGCTTTTTCCAGCAACACCACTGTATCATTTCGCCAAAATAGCGAACCCGTACAGACTAGCTCTATCCATGCTCTGTACACTGCCATGAGCGTCCATGGTTGTGATAATTACATCACTCTCCCATGTGGGAAGGTGTTTCCATATGAGATCTCTTAAACAAGATCAGCTTTGAAGAGAATTGCCTCTCCTCATCCCTGAAGAAATTTTTTTCTTTGATTTCCAGGTGGCTTAGCCCTAAAGCAGAAATTCTCCATGAATCTTGTTCTTGAATTTTAAAGATACTCCCTATTTCTCTTATGCAAACCTCTTTCCAGAAGTTAGCCGGCCCAGTTATGAAGAAGGGAGAGCTCTGGTTAGATCATGTGAACATCGCGGTGTTGGTCTCGGCTCTCCTTTCTTCAGCCAGGGAGGACTGAAATAGACATAATCCACCCACCCAAATGAAATTCTGAGCTGCCCTTTGTGACCATGCCCCAGACATCCCCAGCTGTTATCTCAGCACTGACTACTCAAATTTGCAGAAATAAGAACCACTTTGTACTTTATAGTCCTTCAAAAATGTGTCTTTGGTGTCCCAGTAAAACATGTTATTTGCTAGACACTTATGAAAATCTGGTCCTCAGAAGCCTGCTTGGGAGCAGATCCATCAGCTCTGTTGACAAGTCCCCTCTTGCAAATCTCTTAGTCAGGTTAGCAGTTCCCCAGGTAACTGCATCATTGAGGGGCATCTGGAACCACAACTGGGACCTCGCACCTAGCTGTGAAGTGGTGCATGTTACAATGCATTTGAACTCAGAAAACCACTGCCAGGCTCCACAGGGCCAAGTAACCTCTAGGCACAGAGAGTAAAATGAATTTAAAAAAATTTGAAAGGCAGGGAATATTTTAAAACCTCTTTGGGGTAGAAAGTCATAGAAATGTCTGAACTGAACTGAACACTGAAAAGTGTTGAAGTATTATTTCGGTGAAAAGAAAGAGAATGTGAAAGTCATCTTTTTTGATGCCACCTAATTCTGAAGCTTTCAAGAGGAAGATCAATGTGAAAATCTGCAAAAAGCATGAAGTATGCTCCGTGCCACCCAGAAGTGAGACACAATGAGCAGCCTAGAAGCGAGCTTTGCTGTGACAAGCCTTCCCTGTGCCAAGCATGCATTCCGCACAGCCCGGGCAGCAGCCCATTTCTCTGGGCTCTGTAAGAGCAATTGCAAAGCAGGGCTGACCTGGGCACATCAGTCTTTCTCACAGAGCAACAGCGAGAGCTGCTGTGGGACTCCCCGCTCTGCTGGAGTCAAGACACTGCCTGGCAGTCACCATACCAGTGTTCAGCAGTGCCTGCAGGGGACCTGCTTCCCTCCTTCCACCCCAGCTGAGATGGCAGGGAGCCGGTACCCTGCAGGTGATGTGGGCAGGATCCTTGCCCATGGCAGGCAGCCACTCTGTGCAGGGTGATGTGCTGTGCCTTCCAACAAAGCAACGGAGCTGCTGAGCAGTCTAGAGAACAAGTCTCATGAGGAACAGCTGAGGGAACTGGCATTGTTTAGTCTGGAGAAAAGGAGGCTGAGGGGAGATCTTATCGCTCTCTACCACTACCTGAGAGGAGGTTGTAGTGAGGTGGGGTTTGGTCTCTGCTCCCAAGTAACAGAAAGTTGCCTCAAGATGCACCAGGGTAGATTTAGAACGGCTATTAGGAAATTTTTTTTTCACTGAAAGGGTTTTGAAACGTTGGAACAGGACCCAAGGAGGTGGTTGAATCACCATGCCTGGAGGTATTTAAAAGATGAGTAGACATGGTGCTCAGGGACATGGTTTAGTGGTGGACTTGGCAGTGCCAGGTTAATGGTTAGACTCATGGAGTCATCGAATTGTCTAGGTTGGAAGGGACCCTTAATTTCATCTAGTCCAACCACCAACCTAACTCTAATAAAAACCATCACTAAACCATATCACTAAGCACTATGTAAATGTAATAATCTTAAAGGTCCCTTCCAACCTAGACGATTCTAAGATTCCAGTGCTAGAGCCTGGCCCTGCTCCTGGTCCTGCTGAGCTGTGCTGGGAGAAGGCAGCCACCAAATGGCTAAGCTCCAGGAGAGCAAACACTGCAGAGGAGGAAGCATTTTTCCTGTTATAATGGGGACTTGCAAAAAATGAACATGGACTATATTTTCAGAGACAGAGAACAAGAGGATGTTGAAAACACAGGAGAGTTTGTGGTTTGAAATAACTCTAAAGATCAAGGCTGCAAGATTTTAAGGCAGAGAAACTGGGAAGGGAGGTGCATCTCAAGAGACTATTAGCATCACCAGGGTAGGAATACAGCATGTGATGAAGGTCATGCAGGGCAGAGATGATGGGAACAACCAGAAACTCTGGTTGTGACAGAGGGTCTAAAATGCCATAACAGAGTGAGATCAGAGACAGAAAAATATGGGCAGTTCAGCACAGAAGTGTTCAAAAAGCAGATCATTGTTACAATCTTTGTATTTAGTGCAGGTTACAGGAGCAGCAGTTACAGGACTTCATTGTCTTGCAGGGGTTTGAGAGACCAACCTGAAATTTAGCCTGAAATTCACATGGGCATCACTAATTTCAGCCTGCCCAGACATACCCAATCTTTGTAATAAACATTGATATTAGCACTGAAAGAAAGGTCAGCAAGCTGCTTCTCTGAGGATAAACTCAGGGCCTGGAGTGGAAGCAGGTGAACACAGCGTGTGTGCCAAGGAATGGGAAAAGACAGGTGAAAAAAGTAGTCAGTGTCCCTTGTTCCTTCTCTATAGGTGGAAGAGGTGATCTCAAGAGAGCAGAGTCACAAAAATAGCAACACTGGAATGGAGGGAGATATGGGACACAAAGCCAGGCATGGCCGTGTTATCTCCTGGGGAGATAACAGCTAGAGCAGGCAGCTGCCTTCCTGGCCACAGCCCACCCAGGAGGAATCAACTGACCTTCTGATAGCTGCCAGGCTGAGGTCCCAGGCACACTGTTGTATCTCCTTACTATTTTGAGTACCCCAAGTACTGCACCTAAAATTGTTAGTTTGCTACAGATAATAGGTTCTTATATAGGCATTTAAAAATGAGCATTTTGTCGAAGTCAGTTAACTGCAACAATTGGCATGTTTGGCTGGGCGAGGAGGAGAAGGTGGGGGATTTTGGTCTTTAAAAGCCTCTGGCAGAAGGCTGCTGAAGCCATCTGTTGTTCTGTGCAAAAGTTCGGGTTACACATGCAGAGCTGATCACTGTGACCTCCGGATTTGGGCACACGATAGAGTTACCAGCACTTAATGAGCTCCTGCATGCCAGGTGGGCCACAGCAGGAGTCTGTGCCTGGGGCTGGCACACAGCAAATGCAAGGTGCATCACGTTTGCTGAAGCCTCAGTGAAAGCAGAGAGTGCCTCGGGTGTGTGGTAGGGTTAAAAATGTGTGAAGAATCAGTTACTACTCTGCTTAAGCTCTTGGGTGTTGAATGAAGCAAACTTCTGTTGGGCTCCTTGACCTTAAATGATCCCTGAGTAAGATGAGGGGGTTTGCTGGACCAGGCTGTAGATGCTTTAGCCAAGCAAATTCCAGATGAGTACAGAAAGTTTAACAAATCGCCATGTGAAATCCTTGTTCTTTGTCTGGCTCATAGTTGGCTGTTACAAAAAGCCAACACGTTCTGCTTCTTGGATTTCATCAGATACAGAGAAAATGAGTATTAAAACTATGGAGGAAGCCTGAAATCTTAATCTTATAGGAGAATCAAAAGAACTACTGCATTTCAAAAGCCAGTAACCAAGATAATAAATACTCATTGCTGATGAGACGTATGGTGGGGTCAGTTCTGAGGGCTGCAGAAGAGCTTCAGTAGAGCACAGCAAGGTTCAGGAAGCTTCTTTTCCTGGCAGCTTGGTGAGATGCCAGCAGCATGAAAGAACAACATCTCCCCAGGTGAAGCCAACTATCATCCCTGCTATAAAAGTCATGCCATCATGCTCTCCTGCGGCTTCCCAGCTACATTTTTGCTCTCACCTGGCAGCAGAGGAGGGGTAGCTCATATCAGCCTTGTCCCAACCTTCTTGTGCACTGAACCCTATTGAGCTACTGATGCAGAAGAAAAAACTGCCCTCCAGTCATTGAACCCAGGGCAGGAGAGAGGCATGCAAGGTGTGCAGAGCACTTAATGAGAGGATGCGATTTTGGGATGTCCAAGAGAAGTTGGAAGCTGACAGGGATGAGGGAGATTTCATGTGTCAGCAGAAAGAGGTTTTCACAATGTCAGGGAGGGCAACGTTGATGGAGAACCAGGGACAGAGCCTGGATCTGCCAGGGTGAGGGTGAGGTGAGGGAGACTGTAGAGCTGGGTGAGGGATGAAAAGGGTGAGAGTGGTGGAGGGCCAGTCACTGCAACCATGCATCCAGGGAGTGACTTGTGAGATGGGTAAAACAAAGTGGATTTGAACTGGGTAGACAAAAAAGGCAGGGAAATTTTTTCTGTGGCACACAGAGAATTGCTGCCTACAAAGCTTTCCTCTCCTCATCTGGTAGCTAAAGGCAGGTACATGCCTCTACTCTGTCTCTCTGAGAGCTGTAACAAACCCATCATGGTCTAGATGCTTCCAGTGCATACAGGCACTGGGCAGAGCTCGGGCTACCCTGTTGCCTGTCTGCTTTCCTCATCCATGACTGTGTTCACCTCAGCTTATTGACAGCCTCTGCCAACAGCAAAAGATGGCCAGGAGGATCAAAGTCAGTCAAGCCGGTTTCCTCCTTGGGGAGATAAGATGTGGTACCCAGCAGCCCTCCTCGACATGGCAGGACAGTGTAGGTATCGCTGAGAACAGGCAGAGTATTTTGGGAACATTCATAAATACTTACTTCAAAGGACTGGACTTCCTCATCCCATTTATATACTGCTATAAAATGTCTATTTTCCCTACTCTTCCTCACCATTGAACCGTGAACTTAATACCAAAGGAGTTAATATCAGCACCTGCCTGCCTCATCTGCTGTGTGGATACGGGAGCCAGCCTGTAAAAATAAACCACAGCACAGGCTTGACAGCACTTCCCTGCTGTCCTTGTCACCTCAGAGCTACTGAATGACCCAGAGCCCCCAGGACATGTGCACTGGAGAGGGATGAAAGGGGAGAAGAGACCAAGGGAGGTTTGAGAGGAGTGACCCGCGAGAGCCTGGGCATGGTCCAGGGCAGGTGGGAAGGAAGAGCGGGGAGGCAGCGAGCGTGCGGTGCGGGCATCAGCAAGACCCTTCCAAGCAGTTCATGAACTCCTCCAGATGAACACCACCATTTCCCCCCACCAGACACCATTGCCACACAGAAGAGCTGGCTTGGGAGAGAGTGGGTAGCGAGGCTTGTTTTGACCGTGGGGGAAAGCGGGAGAAGGAGAAGGCGGCACTTACACGGGCTGGGATGTGCTGAACAGGCTGCCGTCGTACCTTCGCCTGACCCCCCAGGCTGCCCCCGAGCTGGATGGCTGAGCACGGCCTCTCGGCTGGGCTGCCAATCTGGAGCGGCGATGACATGAATGAAATAAGGAGAAATACTCCGAATAGGAGAAACAGGTCATGTTGAGGCAGAGACAGAGACACACATCCACAGAGACGGAGAGAGAAAGCCTGCCGGTCAGGGCTTTGAATAAAAGCAGATGGCCACGGCTTGCTCAGCGCTGGATTCAGCTGCTCGCTCGGCTCGAGATTATTTTTGGCCCTCTGAGGAAGCGTCAGGGGATTCAAATGACCATATAAGACAACAGTGAGGTTAACCCTACCGCCACCGCACAGGAAGCAGGCACAAGGCGAGGTGACATTCATCACCTCGGAAGTACCACGCAAGCAGGTCGGCGGCGGGGGCGGAGGAGGACCCAGGGCCCTGGGTGCCGGCTCCGTTTTTCCAGCCCAGCTCTGCCCCGGTGACAGAAGATTTCAGCAAGGCTGCAGATCTGGAGCTACAAGGTTTTTCCTCCAGTGGGAGGTCAAAAGCCGCTGGGCTGAGGCAAAGACAGAGCAGGTTAATGCACAGAACTGCAGAAGCTGCCTTTGCCAAAATAGCAGGTGCCAAAGGACCCCTGAGGAGAACACGAGCAAATGGTCAGGGACCCTATTGGGTCCCTACAGCAGAGCTGACAGTACAAGTAACGAGACAGAGATGCCACAACTTTTGGTGGGAGGAGGACTGCCTGCTGTACAGCATCCTGATTCCACAGCTATGAAACAGCCGTACTGCTCACCAAGCTGTCCCAAGTTTCCCAGCCTTGGAAGCCAGACATTCACAGGTGGTAATGAGTGAGGCACCAGAGGATAGTAGAGTTTTGAGAAAGAAGGATGAACAAAAATTCAGTTACTCCCAGCTCTTTAAAAAATAAAAAAATTAAAGGGATATTTTTCCTTGGTTTGGGGGTGACTTTGTAATCCCTTCCCTACCCCCTTAAGAAATTTGCCTTTTGGAAAATGAAAGGAGAACAATGTCTAGGTTTGAAACTGTCAGCAGGTCTAACCCCTATTCTCCCATGTATTGGGTCCCTACAGCAGAGCTGACAGTACAAGTAACGAGACAGAGATGCCACACCCTATTGGGTCCCTACAGCAGAGCTGACAGTACAAGTAACGAGACAGAGATGCCACAACTTTTGGTGGGAGGAGGACTGCCTGCTGTACAGCATCCTGATTCCACAGCTATGAAACAGCCGTACTGCTCACCAAGCTGTCCCAAGTTTCCCAGCCTTGGAAGCCAGACATTCACAGGTGGTAATGAGTGAGGCACCAGAGGATAGTAGAGTTTTGAGAAAGAAGGATGAACAAAAATTCAGTTACTCCCAGCTCTTTAAAAAATAAAAAAATTAAAGGGATATTTTTCCTTGGTTTGGGGGTGACTTTGTAATCCCTTCCCTACCCCCTTAAGAAATTTGCCTTTTGGAAAATGAAAGGAGAACAATGTCTAGGTTTGAAACTGTCAGCAGGTCTCTGTAACCCACAGCCCAGCATGACAGGGGAAGAGGATGCTGCCACACTTTGGTATCTGGAGCTGCTCTTGGCTGAGAGCGGTGTGCTTGAGGTCAGATTCTGATCTGAAGTAACTAAGTCTTTTAAAGACTGTAGTATCTAAAACGTAGCCCGCTCACACTGTTTTATATGCCTATTTTTGGCCTCTCTCCTATGTTTTCCCATAACAAATATTGTGCTCCCTCTCAGGGGAAACCTCAGCTCGGCGTACAGTGTGTCCCCATGGGCGAAAGGAGCTGCTGGCTTCGGCAGGGCTCCTGTCATTCAGGAGAGCTTGTACCAGTGCCCCTTTTCTTATTTCATTTGTTCCTTAAAACAGACAACATCAAGAAAATTCTCATTTTGCTGTGAGGGCATAAATTGTTGACCTCATCGCATTAATAGCAGACTCTGGCTTTCAAACTAATGAGAGACTGGCAGAGCAGCTGCCTGGTAAAGCTAATTAGAAAGCACGTGTTTAGACAGGGAACTGGTTTCGCTCTTCCCAGGCAGGGTGTTTGCAGGGATGGCACAGCTCAGGCAGGCGCTCACTCACCTTTGCCAGGGGTAGATGTGGTAGGGTGGGTTGTGGCTGCTGGCACGGCCGGGGAGGGTCGCCTCGCTGGGACCCGCCACCATCGACTTCTGGTGGCTCTGGGCAGCCCCCTGACCCACAGGGTCCTCTTCCAAGCTCTGCTGGATGGCCATCTTTATAAGCTCGTCTTCACTCAAGCTGCTGTACAGGCTGTATTCCTCACAGCCTATCGTTTGTCTTTGAGTATTTGCTGCCGTTGTAGCCATTTTTATCTTTATTTTTTTCTTTCCTGTAAAAGGAAATAGTCATCATCAAAATCTGGAGAATGAAAGAAAGACACTCAGCTATCTTGTGCTTTTGTTCAGCTCTGCCTCTTGATTCAACTGATCAGAAAACCCTTCAGAAATCCGTCACTGGGGAGAGAACATTATATAAAGTTAATGAACTTTATGTCAAATAGAAGTAACTGATTTAGCTGGTGTTTGAAAAAGGGAAGGGAGCTGCTGCAAGCAAGGCAGGTTTTTATCTACTTATTCTGGTTACCACAGTTCAAAAGAAAAATAGGTAAAGGAAATCCACTAAGATTAAAGACACACAGCTTTGAAATGAATTTAGGAGATTGCCAATGGACATCTCTTTTTATTTGGTTGGTTTTTTTGTTTATTTCTTTCTCTAATTGCAGAAAATTAAGAGAAGAGGTTTGCCTGTGTTTGCTGGTGTTATGCAAGGGCAAGTTCACCACCATGAAGTGTAAAGAGACTCCGTAGAGCAATTTTTTCCACCATATCTGGAGACCTCTCAAGCAACATGCAAAGCTATTCTTTGAAGTGACTTTCTTTGCTTAACTCATCTAGGAGAGCAGCACAACTGCTCAGTTTCACTTCTGATTTTTGGTTTTTCACAGAACAAAGTTCAACATCATGATCTTTAAGACTTATGGTCAGAACCTCTTCTAAGAACTGGTGGTTAAGAGCTGGTAATGAGAGAAGGGGGAAACATCACACTCGGCAATCACAGAATGACTGTGAACCATCACTGCAGCGTGAACTCAAAAAAGGGAAAGACAATCCGAAATTCTGTGGTATTTCCAGCAGCGAGAGGAACTATTCAGCCATTAATAGTTTGATGCTCTAGCAGGATCTCATCTGGATGTCAGAGAGCACTCTGGCCACCAGTGTTCGAGAGCCAAGGGCTTATTTCATGGGAGGAGGTGGAAAAGCTTGCCTCTTAAGAAGATGACAGCCAAGGGGGAAAGGTTTGCTTTTTATAAGCACAGCAGGCAGCAAGAATCGTGTAAAATCATGTAGAACGCTGGGATGCGGAGCAATGGCTACAGGCTGCCCATGGACAGCACAGGGAGCTAGCAGAGAGGCACTGGGAAGGACATGTCCTCCAGGCGCAGAGGGGCTGGCTGGGTGGTGCACCTATAGGGTTGCTGGCAAAGTCCCTCCTGAAGGCCATCAGTCCATGCCCCAGTGATGCCACAGCAGGGCTGGTCTCCAGCTCTCCACAACCCTACCCTCCCTGGCCATGGGCCAAGCTGAGCTGGGCCACCTGGCAGAGCCACCCCAGCCTCCTGCTGCTCAGAACCTGCCTCCAGGCACCGCTGATGGAGCGAAGCCTTCAGCTCCTCTTCCACCTGCAGCTGCTCTCTCCAGTGGGCTGGGACCTTGTCCCTGGCTCACCGAATGCCCAGGGCAGCATTGACTGCCCAGGGACTGGCACCCACATCAATAGCAATGGGTCCAGCATGCCATGAACCTCATGCCAGGAGATTACTCTGCTCTAGCAGTCCTTGCTGCTGAATGCACAGCCAAGAGACAGTCCTGACCCCAAGTGGCAGCTCAGCCGTGTCTGTGCATGTCAGGACGCTCATGTTTGTTTCTTTAACCATAATTTTTTAAAGAGAAACTAATGCAGAGTTTGAAGAAATTGCAAGATCTTGAATCAAGTAATAAGTAACTTAAAATCTTGGATTTAAGCATTTCACTTGTGGAATGGTGATATCTCCCACATCAACAGCCACCTCAGACTCCAAGTACACCCCAGGAGAAGTGGGAAGAGTTCAGAGTAAAGGGAAGCTCAGCAGATTTCAGACTGACATTATGACTTGCAACAAGAAGGGATGTATTTAACAGCCATGAAAACTGCCAAAGTAAAACCTTCTGTTGCTGTAAACAATGCAACCCGGTTTTGCTGGGTTTTCTTTTTTAATTTTTTGCCAGATCTCTCATGGCTGCTGTTGTTGTTGAAGCAAGAGCTGGTGTGCCTCACAGAATCACATGGGGTTCAAAGGGACCTCTGGAGATCATCTAGTGCAATCCCCCTGCCAAAGCAGGTCCACCTAGACCAGGTTGCACAGGAACTTGTCCGGGTGCGTTTTGAAGGTCTCCAGAGAAGGAGACTCCACCACCTCTCGGGGCAGCCTATTCCAATGCTCTGCCACCCTCAAAGTAAAGAAGTTCCTCCTCATGTTTAGGTGGAACTTCTTATATTCAAGTTTGTGCCCATTTCCTCTTGTCCTATCCCTGGGCATCACTGAAAAAAGACCGACCCCATCCTCTTAACACCCATCCTTTAAGCATTTATAAGCACTGATCAAATCCCCCCTCAGCCTTTTCTTCTCTAGACTAAAAAGACCCAAGCCTCAGCTCTGCTATGACTCTCACTGTCCCAGGGAACCAAGCCCAAGCATCCAACTGCTGATAGCTCCCATACGGAGCTGCTCCCTATGGATAGCCCTGTGCCCCAGCCACTCCAGTACCTGTTCTTGGTTGCGCTCCAGCCCACCCCTGGCCAAGAACCATGACACAGCTTTGTTTTCCCAGCAGTTTCTGCTGCTGCTTGGCTTGCTCAACTCCTGGCATGCTGGGCAGCCCTTTCATAGTCCATCAGCCTACATACTCACTCAGTGACCGGTGTGCTGCCGATGTGCGAAACCCATGGGCTGAAGTCAGAAGGCTTGTCTGCAGCATCCAGCACTGCAATGCCTAAATGTAGGGACCTGGCCCCAATGGTGACTCAGAGACCTAAGCTAAGCAGTTAATGCAGAGGGCAGGATCTGATCGTAAGCTCCTAATAGAGGTGATGCACAATGACTCTTGGGAGGAGGCAAGAATGGAGACATGAGGGCTCCTCTCCAAGGGCAACCTGTGCCAGTGGAGCATGGGGCACAGATCCCTCCTCTTTATCCTCCTCAGCCCCACCACCAGGATCCTGAGAGCACAGGAGGCAGAGTTTAGCCTCGCCATGTTTCTGAGCTGTGTGTTGGAGTCCCTTTGTGGGCAGTCAGGGCTTTGAAGAATGTACAGGAGACCACTGCCAATGTAAGTCTACACTCTGGCACAGATGGGCTAACTGATTTAGGTGCTTCCCTAAATCCACTATGGTTCTGGGTATAAAGGCCATTTCTGCACATCTTCCCTTCCTTCCTCCTTTTCTTTCACACCTCATTGAGGCATAGAGAAGGAAAAAGAAGATTCTGAGTTTAGGGCTAACTCCTATTTCACCCTCTTACTCTTTCTATGGGTTAACTGGGTCCCACCCACTCTCAGAGAAAAGGGAGAACCTCCCCTGCATGTTGATGATCCTCAGTAATCTAAATATTTTGACAGGAGTCCCACAGAGTGCAGAAACAACAGCGCTGGCTGCAGATCCCACCACTGACTCATCCTACAGCAAGGAAAATCATGGGGCTCAAAATAGAGAAAGCTTTCAGTTCTGCTCATTTAACTGGTAAAACCCCAATGAAGGTGTGAGGGTCACATCCTGGGGCTGCAGGAGCTCTTGGGTCCATCCTGATAGCCAAGGACAACCTTGGCTGTCCTGACTCCTGGCAGAGATGGTTCCAGTGGGGCTTCAAGCCTTTCTCGCTTCCCTCCACCCGTCTCTCCTACCTCAGACTGACCTGCATGGTGCATCTCAGCTTGGCAGGAGGTACGATGCATGCCTCCTCCATACAGCTCCCTGTGCAGTGGCACAGAGAAGAGCCATCACCCTCCCCTTCCACCTGGGGATGCTTTTATTTGAAGCTGTAGAGCCACAGGGCTCAGGCACCGGTTCAAGTTGTTTCTGTGACAAGCCCCAGTGAGCCAGCTGAGCTGCATTAATGACCAAGCTCATGCCTTCAGCTGGAACACAGATGGATTAAGTTTAACCTTCTTTGGCTGCAGCTGAGCTTGGTGGCATCATCTAGCACTGCTCTAGCTACCCGGACCCACCATGGCTCAGCTGACACAGCAGGGCTAAGGTAGCCCCATCTGTGGCCAGTGGTGAACTACCAAAACATTATGAAAGCCCACTATACCAACGCACTGTAAGTTATAAGCTTCTGTAACAGAAGTGTGAAAAAAATCAGTCTGGGTTGCTAAGGAATGGTTGACCCAGTTTGAATAAGTAAGATCCAGCCAAAGTGGTCTTTCTAAATGCAGCTTGAACCTATTTGCTTGCTCTGAGCTTGCTTACTGTAGCTATAAAACGTTGGAATCAGGTTTTTAAGTTGAATGCTGGGTTTACCGTTCACCCTAATTCCAGGTTTTGGGGAGAGGTTTTGATGTTTGGCTGTGCCCTGCATTCCTCTGGCAGCCCAAGAGCCCATCTCTGGGGCAGGGAGCACATGGCGTTGCATCTGCTTTGAGAGCAGAATGCAATTTTTAAAGCTGGGGGTATAGTGCCCTTATTCCTTAGAGATCACTTTGCCGTCAGGTCTGAATGGCTTCATTAGTGGTCTCCCATGGCAGAGACACGTGTTAGGATGCTGCTGCCTGTGCTGCCATTTACTAGCTCAGTCTGACAAGATCTTCTGGATCTCAATTTATTATCATTTCTACATGGGGCCCGATCCTGATTCTTAATTTTGCCATCCCTATTTCAGCACAAGTTGGTTTATTTCGATATAGAGAACAGGCCTGTCCCATGCAGAGGTGCCTTAGCTGCATCCAGTGACCAGAAGGTAAGGTCAGAAATGAAATGCTTGTGGCAGGTCCATGCTGTGATGCTCTGCCCTGCTTGGAGGAGCAGCTGTACCTGGCAGATCTTCCAAACCAAAGGTACTGCTCACCGGGGTGGCTGTTAGTAACCACTCTCACTATGGCAAAAGCCACAGACAAATGCAATTAGGTTGCTATTATATTTGGACAGCAAGCTCTGTCAACATACAGTGCTTGATAGAATGGGCCTCTGATCCCTGATGCAACATAAATAAACAACGAGGATTACAGCTGGCTTTGAGCATGCAGAACCACGCTATTCAATACCATTAGCATCTGAAACAACTGGTCCCCATTGATAGCACTTCCTTAAAGAAAAGCTTAGCAAGGCTGCCTGTCCTCCTTCAATAGATCCCAGGCAGCAGAATTAGCAGAATTACTTCTTGCTGTCAGAGGAGGGTGGCAGGTGAGTGACAAGGTCATTAAGGGAGCAGAGCCATGGACTCTGCCTGCCTTTGCACTCAGTTTACCCCAGTCAGCTTGTAACTCAATACAGGACCTCAGTATTTATGGCTCAGGGTGTGATAAACTACATTTCTAAAAACAAAAACAAGTCTTTGGAGGCTGCAAAAGAGAGAGGAGAGGAGCAGCTTGCTCGTTTTGCTTTTTGCAAGGAATGATTGAGCCCCAGGTTGTGCAGATACACATTTGCATTTCTGTGTGTTTGCTTTTTTACTTCTGAGAGCAGCAGGAGCACACAGTGGGGAAGGTAAGCATAGCTGGAAGCCTTCAGAGTAAACCAAGCTTCCACTTTAGCTCTTACTGTGGCACCTTTCAGGCCAGGTCCTCTGCTGGCAATGGCAACTAGACCAGTTTGCAGCACTCAAAGCACGCACGTTTTTGTTTATTTTAGGCCAGTTTCCAGATAAATCTTTGCAGTTCTCAAAGGATGTTAAATTGGACACCTACTGCTGGGAAGCAAATGATTTTTGAAAAACAGAAAGATTTTAGTGGCCATCCGATCTGCCAGAGCTGGGACATTAGGAGAATGACACCTCATGCTGCCCAGCTGCAGCAACAGGCAAATATATTTTGTAATGACAGGTTATGCAAACCGCTCCAGTTCTAGCCCAGTGTTGAAGGAGCAAAGCCAGGCTTCCCAAAAGAATCCTCCAAGCAAACAAATCTCCTTGTCCAGTCCCAGCTGTCAAAACAGGTCACCTATCAGTCTGGCATACGTTATGATGCCATCAAGTCATGATTCTGTGCAAATTTTTTACTGGAAATACATACACCTGCAAGCTTTTTTTTCCTTTTCAGAAAAGCACAAATTCACACAGCATTCAGTGCAATATTAGCTTTGTGTCACACCAACTGGAAATTTATAAATGAAAGAAATCATTTGCTGGTGTCATTTTTTTTGCCTTCACACTCAGACTTATACACTACATTGTCCCTTAACATGTTGTGACAACGACAACAATTGTTTCTGAGCAAGTTATTCCAGTGATAAAGATACAAGCATCATCTACAAATAAAAGAAAAATAAGGAAATGGCAGAGCTACAGTTCTGCTTAACACCAGTGAGTGGTTTATGGCTAATTTGAAAAAAAAAGAAATCCAACCCAAAAACAAACCACAAAACTCCCAAGACTGCATTAGGGTGCTAGGTTATAGGAATAAATATTTGCATAGATATAGCAAAGTGGCAGATTGAAAATGTTAAATAAGTTCAAAACATGCATATTTGCATTACCTTTCTGTTCTGAAATAAAAGGGTAATAATATTGTCGAAATAGGTTATCTCCTTGATTAAGTCTTAATTCAGAAAATCCTCGCTGGTATTCATCTCCCTGCTTTGCCTGGATGTTTCGATCAACTGCAGGACAGCTTTGAAACACTCTTGCTTTGAAGCCTGGAGTTTATTTCTGGATCACCCCATGATCAGCGAATACAAGCCAAAATATAAGTTGTTCTGAATCTCAGATTTCCTGTTTGAAGATGCACAGCAGAAACTTTTATCCATCCTAAACTTCTTCTTTGTTGCATTATCTGAAGAACTTTACTTCATCAAGCATCTTGTAGCTAAATGACACAAAGTTGACCTTTCTATTACATCATTATTTATTGTCCCCGACAAGAAGACCATATATGGACATGTTTCTGGAACCTAAAAGAAAAAAAAAAAAGATTGCCGTATAATTTTGAAGTAAAATATGTTGTCCTGGAGAGTTTTATTTACTTGGGGAGAAGGGAGCTCAATTTACTTTTCTTTTAGCTGCTGTTTGTTAAATGAAACAGGCAAACATTATGTGGGTATTTATGATGTTTTAGAGTGGTTCGTATATTTTTAAGGCTGCAAGTTTGAGACTTTGGGATTCCAAAAGATGACAAAAACGGCTGTGAACCTGTTCCAAGTTGTAAGAGCTTACTACTGGAAAAGAACAGCTCTTGTACTACGTAAATGTGAACGACAGACCTTCCCTCAGATTCCTCGAGGCCATTAATGTGAAACGGTAGCCATCTTCCCCACCTCTGACAGAACGCAAGCTGGTCAAGGGTGAGATAGCACTGATCCAGGGATGAGCTAGAACAAAACTGTCAGGCATGTACAGGAGAATTGTCACTGTTGGATTAGCTGGAATATGGGAATAATACTGTGTTTGGGAAGGTTTCTAGGTAGTTGTCCAGCTAATACAATGAATGAAGGGAAACAGTATAATACAGTATCAAAATGATGGATGTGCTTTTTCCTTCAGCTCCTTCTTCACTGATTCCCATGGCAAAACATTGCATGTAAAGATAATAAAGCCTAGGTTTTAGTGGATCTGACTTCCTTTCTGAGTAGCTTGTCAAGCCTCAGGCTAGCTGTGCTCACCCTGTCAGTGCATAAACACCCCCTAGCTAAGGCTTAACAAGAGCAATCTTGAAGAGAAACCATTTAGCAGGGCCGTATCATCCACTAATAGGTGGACCCTTCCAACTCACCTGCTTTGTTTTTAGGGTCTTTCAGGACCACCAGCGTCATTCCTGCTCCATGCTTGCTCCTCGATCTGACTTGCTCCAGCACGATAGGATGGCCAGTATCTGACATGTCCACCTCCTCTGCTGCATGCAAAACCATGTGCCCTTTGGTACTGACGGAGAATCAAAAAAATTAAAGCATTGTTAAATAAAGATAGTAGAGCAAGGCCAGGAATAGCAGAAGTATTGTTCCAAAAGGTTAGTAGAGCAAGGCAGGAACAAGATAACTACAAGGACAGTTGCAACAGACTACTTGAACAAGACAAAAACCCATTCAAGCAAAATGTTGCAACCTGCAAGTTGGCATATAGACCAAGGATGCCCTTATTTGGTATCAAGACTCAAGGGTTTACCCAGGGGACAAGTAAGAACAACCACCAGAGGGTCCTAGAAGACCACTGAGATGATAAAATGAGTTCTGAGAAAAAGTATGAATATGTATACTCATTCCTGGAAAAGTGATGAATATGTATAAATTTCACTAATATAAATGAAGTATTGAGCATCTCTGGGTGTGCACATTAGGAGGAGTGATCCCCCATGTATCCAGTGCTGTAATAAGGAATGCTTGCTTTCTAAAATTTCCAAACGAGTTTTAGAGAGTTTTTATTTTGCCAACTTAACGGTAACGGTACTAGTGCTAGGACTGCTGTTTTGTCCAAAGTTAAGGACACTAGAAGCTACTGTGGCAAACGAAGGATACTCTGGATGTCGCTACCAAGAGGGTATGAACCTCTTACACACTTGAAAACATAGCAGCCAACCCTCCATGACTTTTAAACAACACCCAACACTTTTTTTCCCCGATATTACTTTAAGATTGTAACCAGCCTTGGCTTAAAACCAAGAGTGAGTGTCTCCCACATTTAACACTTCTGCTTGCCTTTTAGCAGTCTCATCAGATCCACACCCTTGCCACTCTCGTGGCTGACTTGATATGCCACTGAACTCAAGGAAAAATGTTGATGTTTTGAGGCAGATTCACGTTTGGCAGAGGCAAGGGTGCCTACGTCTTCTGGGATGGACTACTCAATTATAAAAAAGATACTGGGGCTGAAGTCCCATCAGCTATGAATGTTGCAGGTGGTTCCCCATGCCATTCACACCAAGCACATTGCAATTCCCTTCCCTCCCACATTCCTGGGTTTCCTCGCAAAGCCCCGTGCACCCTTTTGATGTATTTGGAGCTCCTGTGAACATTTTCCAATAAAAGTGCAGGACTCTGCTTCAGAAGATCTATTTTCAGATACCACTAACTCTCTCTCTTGTCTTGAATAAATCATTTAACTCCTCTGTGTCTCATTTTCTACACTAGTGCAGTGGAAATAATCAAGTGCATTAACGTTGGAGGAGAGTCCAAAATTCCTTGTTGATGGGAAGCCAGTAAGACTACTTATATGGACAGAAATTGCTGAAAAGACCTTATTTAATTAGTATCTATGAAATACTTTGGTATTGACAGAGGAAGACCTCATAGAATTTTGAAATATTAATTAAATATTACTATACAGGAGTGAAATCATACATTTTGGGGTTGATTTTTTTTTTTTGCAATAAAACAATGTTGTGGCTTTACTACAACACATCAAAAGCATAATAATAACAATGTTATGATTTATTAGCTTTGCATCAGATTTGTTAATATTTCCCTTGGGGCATGCACAGTTATGGATCTGCATTTTCAGCTTAACCCCAAGACATTCCAGGAGATTACAAAATGTCACCTGCAAAAATAAATACATAAATTTATGCCATTTTCTGGGACAGATTTCAAACTCAGATGCTGCGTATTAGATCTGTTTGCTTTCTCTTTAAATAGAAAACGATGGAAATAGCCAACTCATGCTGATGGGGGAGTCAGCTAGGGTCTCACAAACAGGGCAATAAAAGCATATTAAAATCAATTTGGACCTGAGAGAAGACAAAGAAGGATGACCACATCAAAATAATAAATGGAGAAACAAACAGCAAGATTTATTCTTCATGTTTACGCAAAATAGTGAGCAGAAGAACATTTCCTTAAGTTTTTGATTTGTTCAGAGTCTCTATTTCCATTAGTTGAATTAAGTAACCCTTCAGCATTACTTTGTTTTAAGACAAAACTGAATCAGGTAACTGTTCATTTGTGCATCCCGGGAGATCGATGAGCTTGTAACAAACTCATTCTCTCTGCAGAGCTGCCACGGATGTGCCAAAACATGACAAATGCAGGTGAGAATGGGCATTAGGACAATCTGTATTCTTGTCCGTATAACTATCAATGATGAGTAACTCTACTGCACCTGAACACTTAGCTTATGGGTGGCTGTTCTGAAAGGAAGAAAATACTGATTAGTTGTGACAGTAACAGCCCCTGGACGGAAAATCCTTGTAATACATTGCTACAAACCAGCAATCTGTTTTGTGCACCAATTACCTCCAACTGTTCCCTTGTTACTCTTGTTACTTCTGTCTTGTCTGAACGTTTTTACTGTAGAAAGACAGCAAAATGGGTGGCATATTTCACTGAGAGCGTAGACCTAGGGCACACATCTCTGTACCTTTAGCAATCATATTGCAGAGAGCAGAGCTTTGCTTTTGGGGTTGCCCAGATACTCCCAAAGGTTAAATGCAAACACCAGAACCAAAAGCGACCCTCCTGTGCCTCCCACTATACAACCCACATTCAAATAACGGGAAGATAGAAACTCCCACTGGGGAATATGGTTTCAATTTCCTTTGCAAGAACTAATGATTGCTTTGGCCCCAGTACCCTGAGAGAGGCGAGGAGCCAGAGGCACTTGTATGGGAAAAGGTGCGGGATGTCACTCATGCCCAGGGGTAGGGAATACAATATACATTACTTCTTGCTGACTCTGCTGCCTAAATACTTCACTGCTGCAAAGAAGGATGTGTTTTGAGATGACTGTACTCAGAACACAATTCCCCTTTCTGGAGGAATTTATCCCATGCTAACGGCTCCTGACTCACACCCCCGAGTCAGGGTGGACTTTGGGTCAGTGTGTGACTTCCCCCTCTACACAGTGGCTCCTCGCCGAAAATTTTTACCTTTCAGGTACAAACAAAACAGAGTCCTCACTCCTCTGGAAATACAACATCAGCACATAGGGGAAGACCAAGTATCCAGGGTCCTAAGCCCCATTTCATGTATCTGATGACTCAGCCCGGACCTGCGCTGCTTTGGAAGAGCATGCAGCTACTGCAGTCACTGCCTCTCTGCAAATGTCATCATAAGGTCACATCCACCGACTCAAACTGAAAGAGGAATCAGTCAGAGGGAACATGAAATGCTAATACGAAGCGAACACAACCCAAAGACTACATAAACAAATACATGCTCCTTGGAGGAAGAGGGAAAGCATAAACATTATCTTTTAGTCACTCTTTGCTGTGCAAATATCATTTACCTTATGTTATAATGTATGTTAGTAAGAATTTTAATGAAAGACTTATCTTTTCCTTGACCTTTACAAAATCCACAAAATTCAGAGATGTTGCTGCAACCCCATTGCTCCAAGGATCTTGCAGGGGAGCAGAAGGATGAGAATGGCAGCAAGAGACACAAGCTACTGTGAGTAGAAAAGGTGCTGGGAAAAACAGCAACTCCAAAACAGCAATGATGGACAAGCGAAATTGATTTTGATGGGAAAAAACATTTCCAGTTTTTTTAAAGCAGTATTTGGAAATATGCAATGGGTGTTCACCTCTCCATTCAATCCCTTAGGCTAGTTTATGAACACAGTCTCTTTTGATGCTTTTCCTCTAATTCCTTTAAGACTATTTTGTTTCTAACTGTTGTGCTGGCTGTATGCAATAACAACTGCAGCATTGGTCTCTTTCCCTTCCCTCAAAGACGTGAGAACAATAGGCTTACTAGATATGGACCTGTCTTTGCTTTACTATTGTCACAGAGAAACAGCCCTCAAAAAACAAAAGCTGCCCCTATTTACATTCAGAGCGTGCAGAATTGTCCATAACTTGGCGCACAATGAAGTTCAAGGAATTAAAACTTTCTATATGCTTGGAGTTAAACTAACACTAGCT